CTTTTGTATGGCTTGGACTTTGCAGACCCCATTAACGGAAACTTGTGGTTTGTCTCAGAATCTGGCTTTAAAGGGAGAAAAACTGTAACTTGTAATTTGAACATATTTCCTGTGTGTTCTCTGCATTTTTCTTTGCCTTTTATTCTTTTTTTTTTGTCAACACCTGTTGCAGAAGCTCGGAGTGTGTTGTCTCCTAATGAGGCTTTCTGTCAGGATCAGACGGGTGCCTCTACAGACTTTCAGAACCGCGTTCCATCAGAAGCATAAAGCAGCGTACACTTACTCCTGTAGTGTCATTCTAACTTAAGCAGACTTTGCTGTTTCGCTGCCTTTACAGATTTTAATATCTGATTGCAAGATATGTATAATAAAATATTTTCCTACACCGTTACCATCTACACCCCATCTGTTTGCACAGATACAATCTTTGCCATTTTTGATAGGCATATTTTATTTCATTTTCTTATCTTAGAGGTTAATAGATAAGTGCTTCTTCCAAGTTTTGATATTACATTTCTAATTTAAATTTTGATTTTTTTTTTATTTGGTTTTCTAAATATAGTAGCATTGAGGTAAATGGTGTATTGTAATATATATATATATATATATATATATATATATATATATATATATATATATATATTATATATTATGCATACCTCTTTGTATGTTGGCAATATAATCAGCATTGTGTTTGAGTACCTTTGCTTCAACAGGTCATTGAATAGTAAACTGTGAATAAACTATTACAGCAGGGATCCACATACATTTTTTTTTTTACTGCTTCTGCTAAATGCATTCTCTGTGGTCCCAAGGTTGATAGCTCCCACTGTGCTGCATGCATTAAAGTTGATTAGTTGTGTTATTTTTGCCCTTCTGAGAAAGAAGAGCAGACTGTTTGTTAAACCTCTGAAAATTATGTTTGGCATGCACATAGCCCCTGCATGCCTGTGTGCATGCATAACAACAATATCTGGGAAGCTCCTGACGATTCCTGCTTGATCACAAAACCTCCTGTTCAGGGCTGGGCTGAAGGTAGTGAGAAGTGGGGGTAGCCTACGATGCCTCCATGGGACTCACTCTATATTTTTGAAACACATTCAGCACAAAAGCAACATAGAGCCACTTAAGGACAGCTAGACAGTGATCTTCACATGTATTTTTTCAGTGTATGGGGTAATTCGAATCAATGAATACTCTACATTGTGTCCTTGGGACTGTCCCATGTTATGCTAGTATGTGTCCTCTTTGTATCTTCAAGTCAATGAGACTGATATTCGGGCCAGGGCAGGGAATGGATGTACCAAAATGGAGTTAATGATTGCAGTGCATTCAGTGTGTCACAGGGAATTAAATGTTTGTTAGGGCATGCCACAATCAAATATTTGGCTAAGGAAGAGATGCCCAGCATTAGTTGAAACTGTTGGTGGTGTCAGTGGGAGACAAAAAATACCCCAGTGTCGTTGTCAGTAGGAGGAAAAAATACCCTGATATCAAAGGTGTCAGGAGAAACATACCCTGGTGTCACTATAAGAAGAGAGCGGGAGGGGTGAAGAGTTCTAAAGGGATACAGTTCTCTGGGGAGAGGAGGCAGCTCTAAGGTATAGGTGCGCCCCCCTCACTCTGTGCACTCGGAGGAGAATCATCCCCGCAGTATCTATACAAAAGGTATTCTGGTGCAGACTAAACATATTATAAGAGGCAAAATATTGCTCTTCTTGTGTGCCTTCAGCAAAGTTCTGGAGCCGCACACCACTTCCAAAGGGGTAAAAACAACTTGAATCAGCACAAGCACACACACTCCACCCAGAATTTTTCTGTTTCCCTGCTGAGGCATAATCCTGGAGCAAAATGTGCACCCCTTGGAAGCGGTGTGCGGTTCCAGAACTTTGCTGAACATAGTGTGGGAGGAGCAGACACCAGAGTTGAGAGTACATGCGGGCTGGATTTGAGGATTGTGGGTGTGTTTGGAGTGGCTTTTTTTCTGTTTTTCTGCCTGCCTTAAACTGGCCATACATGGATCAAAATTTGTCTGTTTCAGTAGAGACTGTCCAAATTACGATCCATGTATGGGTAGGCTGATTGTACCCAAGTCTGTCCATTGATAGACTTTGATGCATCCAGCCTGTGGGCTTGCTCTGCATGTGATTACTGGCAGTGGCTATAGCTACTAGCAGTAATCATTGTATTCTACCAGCCAGTGCGCTCCTGCCGGTAAAATGCAATAACGTTGGGGGGGAGGTATTCCCATGGTGGAAGGAAAGAAAATCAAATCATCTATGGACTATTTTAAAGATCTGTTCCGTAAGCTCCTAAAATAGTCGTTTGTACCCCTTACCAGTTCATTCCTGTTTCTCAGAGCTTGCACTTTGCAATAGAACCCAAGAAATGGAAGCTAGTCCACTTTTCTATTGATAGGTTGGTAAATAATCCACCCTGTGAAACAATATCTAGGGTACAATTTCATTTTATTTAACACACCTTTTTGCAGATGTAATTATTACAATATATTAGAAAAAAAAAAGAAGAAAAAACGTCTTCTAAACAATGATATTCCCATCGGATGCTTCTTTCTGTATCCTCCCAGCCAAAAGTTTGCACTAGAAAATGAAGACATCATACTCTTTTCATTAGCATTACTTTTATTTAGGGATGTAAGACATGGAGTGGATCTCTTCTTGTAAATTAAAATCAGTCATTGTAGATTTGTGTTTGTTGACATTTTTTTTAATAGTTTTGTGTTACAGCTTTTTGTTGTCAGATCCCCTAAAATTCCACAGGGTTCCCTTTATGCTTTTAGGTTCTCATATTGTGAAATAATGTTTCTCAAGCAAGCAAGCAAGTTGTGCCTGCAGGGAAATTTCTATCTGTCAGATTTAAAGAACATTTGTCGGGAAGGAGAATATCACGCGATTTGATTGGGTTCCCAATTCTTACTGCCGTTGCAGAGTATCCCGTAATTACCTCGCAAGGGAAGAGGAACATCTGTTCATGTACACTGTATCAGTATGAAGAGGAGAAAAAAAGCAAATAGAAAGGATTTATTGGGATTAACTAAGCTTTACTGGTGGGCTCAATGGACCTTTTTTTATCCTTTGTTTTAGAGAAGGATTAGGCCACCATTATATCTAATTATTCCAAGTAACAATTCAGCAGATGCTCAACGCAGACCTCATTCCAGTGGATAAGCCTGCAGAATCATGACAGCCAATGGGAAATACCACTACTAATCTTGTATACCAAGTATTTATTTGGAATCTTTGAAATATCATTACACGTCCTCGATCTATGTAGATGTCTATCAGCATGGCATATGCACAAACTGGGGTGTCATCAATAAAGCGAAACCAGATAGTTGTTTGCTGAGTCTGTGGGATGGCAGGACTGTCACTAAAACGAGCATTACAAACACTTAGAGCAACAAAAGAAGAAAATTCATTTCAGACAAGGATCATGGATGATTAGGTATGCTACAGATTCATGCGTTCCAATCAAGCGTTTGTATAAGCACAATGCTGGTTTGAAAGAAGTCCCTTGCAGAAGGATGTGTTACAATATAATTTAGGACACATTTAAAGGGTCAGTACAGCCAAAACAGTCATTTCAGTTTTTTGTAAATGTCAGTGGGTTGAATTATCCAATAACTGTTTAAATCCTTTAGAAGACAGTGTTGAGAATTGTGCACTTCATTTTCTAACTGCCTACCATAGCTATAACAATGAGGTCTCTTCAATTCTGCTCGCTCCTTTTACTTTAATTGATAGAGAAGGGCTAGCATCCCGCTGACTTTTACACAGAACAGAAATTTCTGTTAGATGTTGGAGTTCCCACTAGAAAAAAAACCTTTAATGATTTAGGCCCCACATAAGGTAAAAGTCAGTTTTAGTTAGACCTTGATAAAACAGACCTAGCATTAGGAATAGGTCTCATGTTATTTGCATGAATGCTAAGCCATTTGTAAGTGTAACACTTAAAGGTGTTTATTACCTCATACAGAGATCACAGTATTCCTCTGATGGCACTTTATATGCTTTTCTCTCCAGAAAGATAATGCCATCTTTGTTTAGGCTCCATCCTGCATCCGAAGTCACCATCTACTTCCTGGACTGAGGTGCCAGATGAGAAATGACACAGTCATGTAAATCAATGTAGTTCTTGGTTGTGTTTACAAATGTCTGACACAAATCAGCCCCATGCTGCTTTCAGCTTAGGCTTGCAAAAAGATACAATGTTGCAGCTTGCTTACTGGGTAAGAGGAGGCTGAGGAAATGCTTACACCTGTCTGCAGCATGTCATTATCTAGGTCTAGGGAAAGTCACTACTAGAGCTCAAAGGAAGGTTTTTATTGATAAAATGAAGAATCATACTGCTGTTGTATATTGTGTCAGGACATTTTTCATGCAGGCATGTTTCTGAAAGGTCCACTTTAAAGCCTAGCTATAACTGTGCTGATTTATTTCAAAATAAGTACCGTATTTTTCGCTCCATAAGACACACTTTTTCCCCCCAAAAAAGGGGGGAAAATGTCAGTGCGTCTTATGGAGCGAATATGGAGTGGCTGGTCTGGTATTCCCACCGCCGCCGCCGTGTCAGAATACCGGGCCGGCCGCTCGTCTCTTCTCTGCAGCAGGACCTAATCTGTTCCTCGATCCAGCACTAAGAAGGCTTCCCGCGTCGACATCTTTAGTGTGAGCTCTCGGCTGTGACAGCCAGGTGCCCAGTGTGCATGCGCGAGAAGCGCTGCGCTTTGTGAATAGTACGACATCTTCTGGGACACATAACAGGTCCCAGAAGACGCCGGACCAATCACAAAGCGCAGCGCTTCTCACGCATGAGCAGTGGGCACCTGGCTGTTAGCTAGGTGCCCACACTAAAGGGAGGACAACGCCGCGGAATTGGGAGTGGGTACCTGTCAAATTCAGGTACCCGCTCCCCCTCCCTCCCCAAAGGTCCGCATTCTCTTGTTCATCCCCTGTACTGTCCGCAGTCTCTGGGCATCTCCTGTACTGTCTGCAGTCTCTGGTCATCCCCTGTACTGTCTACAGTCTCTGGTCATCCCCTGTACTGTTTGCAGTCTCTGGCCATCCCCTGTACTGTCCGGAGTCTCTGGTCATCTCCTGTACTGTCTGCAGTCTCTGGTCATCCCCTGCACTGTCCGCGGTCTCTGGTCATCCCCTGTACTGTCTGCAGTCTCTGGTCATCCCCTGTACTGTCTGCAGTCTCTGGTCATCCCCTGTACTGTCTGCAGTCTCTGGTCATCCCCTGTACTGTCTGCAGTCTCTGGTCATCTCCTGTACTGTCCGCAGTCTCTGGTCATCTCCTGTACTGTGTCCTCCTGTACAGTCTCTGGTCATCTCCTGTCCTCTCTGTGTCCGCAGTCTCTGGTCATCTCCTGTACTGTCCGCAGTCTCTGGTCATCTCCTGTACTGTCCGCAGTCTCTGGTCATCTCCTGTACTGTCCGCAGTCTCTGGTCATCTCCTGTACTGTCCGCAGTCTCTGGTCATCTCCTGTACTGTCCACAGTCTCTGGTCATCCCCTGTACTATGTCCGCTGTCTCTTGGTCATTCCCTATACTGTCCGCAGTCTCTGGTCATCTCTCTCTAATGTGAGCAGTGATAGCGTTTTGAGCTGAGTGTATCAGTGCCGAGGATTGGGCACCACCTAAAGTGAGTGTATATTTTGTTGATTTTATCCATTTTTATAATAAACATACTGTACTATGAGACATTTCTCCTTCTGATTCTTGATAACCTTGGATTATGGAGTAAATTGGGAGACCATTGAGAAGATATACACTGATGTTCCAAACTCTTGGGGACACAAAGCTCATTAGACCTTTTAATTAAGAGGTCTTGGATGGTTGGTGAGTGCAATGTTTTAGCCTATGGTGGTGGAGCACAAAGGATCTGCATGAAGCAATATGTTGGGCACCAGAAGATTATGCAAGGCTTTTGATCCACAATTTGGTGTGGGACTTTTGTTTATGGACTTGCTGATTTATATCACATTAGGTTTTGTATGTTTTACCACAGTCAGAATATTGTTTATATAGCATGTATGTGAAGCGCCATACCTTACTTCAATATTTAGAATGTGTGAAAAAAGTATAGCGAGCGCTACAGGTACAAGAGCACAAGCAGCTAGAACACCAAAAAGGCAACCAATCCTCCTTGCAATAGTCAATGATAAAAGAAAAGTAGGTGCAGCGCTAAAAACAAAATTTGAATATTACTCTATAGGATAAATATAAATATCAGTGGTCAAAACAGATATACCACAAAGGTGAATAATGCATAGAGTCTATAAAGAGTGCTGAAAGCACACAAAAAGTTCTCGTCCCAGGGTGATGGTAGTACAAGAAAAAGGAAGTCCTGGAAAACAGAAAGAGTGCGCACTCACCAGAAGTGCGTTAAATTAACGCATGTAAGGAAGTAACTGCTGCCAGATCTCTCCAGCATCAGGGCTCTGGTCAGGTCGCACTGCATCGCGTTTCGTGCGATGCACGTCCTCAGAGGGTCAGCCCTGACCCTCTGAGGACGTGCATCGCACGAAACGCGTCAGGGGGGCTACAGCTTATGGACATCTAGCCACTGTTTGTGGCCAACTATTTATGGTCAGTACTCTTTTTTTGTTTACCCCCTTTTTGACTAATAAACGCAAGTCACAACAATATTACACTATGTGGCGTCCTTCATTGGGCTCTCTCTGAGAGCACCATCTCCCACAGTACTTCTTTGGACCAAGGAGTTCCCTGACGCTCACACGTTCGGATGCTACTTGGCCACCTCTCCTTGCGGTGAGACAGAGGATAGGACGCAGTGCGACCTGACCAGAGCCCTGATGCTGGAGAGATCTGGCAGCAGTTACTTCCTTACATGCGTTAATTTAACGCACTTCTGGTGAGTGCGCACTCTTTCTGTTTTCCAGGACTTCCTTTTTCTTGTACTACCATCACCCTGGGACGAGAACTTTTTGTGTGCTTTCAGCACTCTTTATAGACTCTATGCATTATTCACCTTTGTGGTATATCTGTTTTGACCACTGATATTTATATTTATCCTATAGAGTAATATTCAAATTTTGTTTTTAGCGCTGCACCTACTTTTCTTTTATCATTCAATATTTAGAATGTTGCATATGTCTTAACTTTTTGGCATTATGTGAACATGCACAGTTAAGGCTAGATTCATGTGCTACAGTCAGGTCCATAAATATTGGGACATCGACACAATTCTAACATTTTTGGCTCTATACACCACCACAATGGATTTGAAATGAAACAAACAAGATGTGCTTTAACTGCAGACTGTCAGCTTTAATTTGAGGGTATTTACATCCAAATAAGGTGAACGGTGTAGGAATTACAACAGTTTGCATATGTGCCTCCCACTTGTTAAGGGACCAAAAGTAATGGGACAGAATAATAATCATAAATCAAACTTTCACTTTTTAATACTTGGTTGCAAATCTTTTGCAGTCAATTACAGCCTGAAGTCTGGAACGCATAGACATCACCAGACGCTGGGTTTCATCCCTGGTGATGCTCTGCCAGGCCTCTACTGCTACTGTCTTTAGTTCCTGCTTGTTCTTGGGGCATTTCCCTTCAGTTTTGTCTTCAGCAAGTGAAATGCATGCTCAATCGGATTCAGGTCAGTGATTGACTTGGCCATTGCATAACATTCCACTTCTTTCCCTTAAAAAACTCTTTGGTTGCTTTTGCAGTATGCTTTGGGTCATTGTCCATCTGCACTGTGAAGCGGCGTCCAATGAGTTCTGAAGCATTTGGCTGAATATGAACAGATAATATTGCCCGAAACACTTCAGAATTCATCCTGCTGCTTTTGTCAGCAGTCACATCATCAATAAATACAAGAGAACCAGTTCCATTGGCAGCCATACATGTCCACGCCATGACACTACCACCACCATGCTTCACTGATGAGGTGGTATGCTTAGGATCATGAGCAGTTCCTTTCCTTCTCCATACTCTTCTCTTCCCATCACTCTGGTACAAGTTGATCTCGGTCTCATCTGTCCATAGGATGTTGTTCCAGAACTGTGAAGGCTTTTTTAGATGTCGTTTGGCAAACTCTAATCTGGCCTTCCTGTTTTTGAGGCTCACCAATGGTTTACATCTTGTGGTGAACCCTCTGTATTCACTCTGGTGAAGTCTTCTCTTGATTGATGACTTTGACACGCATACACCTACCTCCTGGAGAGTGTTCTTGATCTGGCCAAATGTTGTGAAGGGTGTTTTCTTCACCAGGGAAAGAATTCTTCGGTCATCCACCACAGTTATTTTCTGTGGTCTTCCGGGTCTTTTGGTGTTGCTGAGCTCACCGGTGCGTTCCTTCTTTTTAAGAATGTTCCAAACAGTTGTTTTGGCCACGCCTAATGTTTTGCTATCTCTCTGATGGGTTTTTTTGTTTTTTCAGCCTAATGATGGCTTGCTTCACTGATAGTGACAGCTCTTTGGATCTCATCTTGAGAGTTGACAGCAACAGATTCCAAATGCAAATAGCACACTTGAAATGAACTCTGGACCTTTTATCTGCTCATTGTAATTGGGATAATGAGGGAATAACACACAGCTGGCCATGGAACAGCTGAGAAGCCAATTGTCCCATTACTTTTGGTCCCTTAAGAAGTGGGAGGCACATATGCAAACCGTTATAATTCCTACACCGTTCACCTGATTTGGATGTAAATACCCTTAAATTAAAGCTGACAGTCTGCAGTTAAAGCACATCTTGTTTGTTTCATTTCAAATCCATTGTGGTGGTGTATAGAGCCAAAAATGTTGAATTGTGTTGATGTCCCAGTATTTATGGACCTGACTGTATGTATTAAATTTACAGTTTCCTGTTGTGCGCATAGTATGAATAATGTAGTTTATATTGTGCTGTGTTGCTAATAACAAGTTTTCTGTAACTTCTATTAACCCCTTCACGCCCCAGGGTAATACAAATCTAAATGCCTAAGCACAATTTTGCAACGTTGACATGTGTTTAGTAAAACTGTACATATCATTACAACTACTTTGTGCATCCAGGTGACTTATACCTTGTTTTTTTTAAGGACAAAGTGGGCTTTCATTTGGTGGTAAATGGAATGGATATCTCCTGATTTTTTTTTTTTTTTTATTATAAAAGGAAAACTGGCCCAATATAGTAAAAAAAAAAAAATTATTTTTTTTTAATTTAGCTGTGTGTTTCTTGGCTTTGTCCCCTGACCTTACTTGTTTTCCGCTTGTCCTTACCCCGGCTTGCCTTTTGGATTCCATCTGTCTTCTCCCATTATACTCTGCTCCCGCAAGCTGTCTCCTCCACCTCAGCTGAGTGTACCTGGGGGCCCCGACCTGGTCCCAGCTTGCTGCAAGTCCATCCCCACCATCAGGGGCTCTGATGAACAAGCAGGCTGAGGCTTAAACTCCGCACCCTGGAGAACCCTAAGTTGAGGATCCTTAGAGCTCACTACCTCAGGCGTTGACAGTACCATAACCTGCCACCAAAGAACAAACCAAAATAAATTTTCCAGCTCTTGACGATCGCAGTGATACCATATATGCGTATGTTACTTGTTGTTTGTACCCATAGTGCAGCCAGAATTAATAATGCGCATTTTGTTTTTTTCTTTTTTTTTTTTTCTTACTTAAAACACACACTAAATGACACTGGCAACAATTTTTTTTTTTAAACCCTGATCTTTTGACCCTGATCTTTTGATCTTTAACCCTGACTTTGACCCACTTACTCTGGCACTGAACTAGATCAAACCTTGATCTAGGTATTTTTTCTTTATTTTATTTTTTAATATTCATCTTTTTATCTTTTTTTTTTTTTTTTTTTTTTAACAAACATTTTTTTTCCCCCCCTCAATGCCAGGAGTTAGCGAGATACAATGTATATCTCTCCTCCATTCATAGAGAGAAAAAAAAAACATGGGGGCCGGGCTGTACAGTGACTAATTACTGTGATAGCCAATCAGAGGCTATCACAGTGATCATGTGACCCAGAATCAGGAGCCCCGGTTCCCGATCGCTAAAACGGGACCTGGTGCTCTCAGTGACACCGCGGTCTTTGTGCTGGGAGCATGCTGTGCGGTGCGCTCCCAGCAGAAAGACAGGTATGCAAATATGCGGCCCCATGGAAAAAAGCCCAGTTCTGTGAGGCCGCATATTTGTGTGATGTCGGCGTCAAGGGGTTACGATTCAGGTTTGCAAAACATTTCAGGGAGTATTAAAGTGGAACTAAACTTTTCTCAACATTAACTATTTTTAATTCTTATGCTGCTAGTATTAGTAAATAGGTAAGGTATATTATACTTTTTTTGTTACGTTTCTTCATTTGCTTCCTGGTTTCTGGCCTAGGCCAAAATGATGTCATACATCCCAGGAGTCTTCATGGGCATTTTTTTCTTTTATCAGGAGAAGGGCTTCCTCAGCTAAACACACCCTCCTGCCTGCATGCATGAGCTAA